CGGCTACCAGAGCCCGGTCTGACCGGTCACATGAAATAATGAATCCTGCGATCACCTGTGAATCCAATCATCTCCAAAACCACTAATCTCCAATGCTCAATTGTTCATCACAGAATAATAATCAAAAACACATTTGATTTTACAGGAACATCTAAGAAAATTGGTTGTGCCTTATATTTTGGAATGGAGGGAGTATAAAATACGTACTCGTTTATGCATCCGTCGAAAATCATGTTCACTGAAAATGAGAAGTAGCTAAGCATTAAGCTGGTAATGATGTAGCCTAAGACAAATTAATCGGAAGCAATGGCCGACATGACAGGCTGTTGGACGGCCGGCAGGACGCTACGGCTCAACAGGTCCAACCGACCCGATCAAACCAAACCATCTTAATTTAATTACTCAGTCTAATCCACATTTTGTGTCATTTTTTATTTGGTGTAGCACCTTAAATCGGTCAAATTTCAGACCAAATCATGCAGTTCTAAAAATATTGAAGGTTTGGCTAAAAATACAAAAGCTATCTTTACCATGGTTGTCTCTATATGATTGGCCATGTATAGTACTCACATGTTCATGTGAGCATACAGTCAATATTAATTTGATAAAGTCTGCATCATGTAGTAATTAATTAGCAGTAGCTCTAGTACTTACTACGGACGAACTGATCAGTTCCTTGGATTTGAAATTTTCAACTCGTTGGTGCAATGCTCAATGAATTTGTCAGCTGCGTGCAATCAATGTGTGTGGGGATGAAATGTATACACGGTTTGTTGTTTCAAACTTTCAAAACCTATTGAAGTATTTCTGACATTTGATTGGTGAGAAATTTATGCGGTATGCATATATGGGCCAGTGTGAGTCGGTCTGATTCAAACTCCAAAATTTGAATGGATTAGTTGAATATAGCAGCTTAATTGGACGACTTTTTATTCAAGTACACTTTGGTGGTTAGACTCTTAATATCAAAAATACACGAAACTTGACAAAAGGAAACACGCTCATAGACTTTTTGTGTGTTTTTCTCAAAGTAGTCAATTAAATGGATTAGGTTGCTAAGGAGTTACTACTAGCAAGAAGCTAGTATGATGTAAAAGTGAGATTGGACTTTGTTTCCTCCTGTTTAATACTATGAAATATTATTATGCCATTAGATAATAAGTTGATCAATGTTATTATCCTCTAAAAAGACAATGATATAAAAGAAATTTGCAGATTATGCCTGAGCTTATGCTATTGTACTCCAGTGGTGCACAATGTGAGATAGACTTAAATCTTGTTTAGGGCAAGTTATGAATTTATTTTTGGGCTGGGCTGTGGGCTGGGCCTGGCCTACTGACTGGTACTTATCATTCTTGATATGTTGACATACTCATGTGTTTTGCATAGTATTCATTTATTGCTAATCCCATTGCATTGCATTATCTTTTTCACAATGGTAGTTAGATTGCGTTGTCATATGATGTACTCCTGTAACGTTTTCAGATTTTGCACCTATTGCTTTCAGGTGTGGCTTGTAGGATACAATGAGGAATGCATACCTACACCCAACATAAAACATTAAAATTGGAAAGAAACCAAAGGAAGACTAGAAAAAAAAACTTTTATTAGTGAACCAAAAACAATAATATTAAGGCAGTGGGAAGAAGAAATCTTATCCTGTCTAACTGTTACGTATTCTTGTGCATATGACAATAAGTTAATTACATATATATACACAATTAGTATAATGCTGAACAAGATAAAACAACCACATATTTCATAAGCTTGCTCATCCCTAACCAACTACTCAATCATGCATGCACTGGAAAATAACAAAATTGATTTGATTTCCTGACCAGAAACTCATCAGGCCATTTTGGTTGTCTTCCATCAGACCAAACATCTAGAAGCTTCCTGAATTTGTGGCTGAACAACAAGAAGAAAGGGGCCCCCAAAAAAATCCAGAATACATATATGCTGCATTTCTCTCCCTCTTTTTCTTACAATCCACAAACTAGCTGGAGTGTGATTAGTGCCACTGCCACCTGGCTTTTTTTTTCAGTTCTTGCAAAGGTGACCTTAAAATGAATGGTAGTGATGGTGATGATGAGGCCCCAAAAAACAAGAAGACAGTCTTGCTTGCCAATTTTCTCAACCAACTACAGACAAGAAAGGGAGCTCCAGAGGACAGGAGTGGAAGAAAGGGGCCAACTTTCTTTGTCACCACTATTCTTAGGAGATGACCTGTTGCCCTCCCATTGGCTCCAGCACAAGAAACTTCAAGAAAAATGAATTAACTAACTTAAACCTGAGAGCTGGTAGAGTTTCACTTTAGATTCCAACATTTTTGTTTCAGTACTATAAATGCTGTTAATGAAATTGTTTGATACTTTGTGTATGTGGTTTTTTACTATTCCAAATCATTTCTCACTAGTTTTTTTTTTTACTATCTTGTGATTGGAAGAAACAAGTAATAGTTTCGACAAAAAATATAAAGTTGTTTCAATTGAGGCCTGCGTGAGATTCCAACATTTTCTTTCAGTACTATATATGTGGTGTTAGTGAAGTTGTCTGATATTTGGGTTTTTTTACTATTCCAAATCATTTGTCATAAGTTTTTGTTTATCTTGTGACTGAAGAAACAAGTAATATTTTCGATAAAAAATAAAGAGCAATCCCAAATTCCCAATTAAATTTGTCAAAAGAAATGGAGCACAATCTCTGACTAAAAAAATATTACTTCACAATTCCTTAAATTATCCACCATTCAATTGTAAAAGATCTTCTTATGTTGTCTATTTCTTTTGGTCAACTTGTACAAAGTGAAGATGCGTCAGGAACAAATGAAGCCACAAGAGTTCGCTTCTTGTAGGAAGAAAGTGATACGAAAAGGAAAGGGAACTGCAAGCAATAGCATTGCAATTATAAATTATATATTTGGATTATTTAGTTTATCCCCAAATGAAGCAATCTTGTGTCATTTATGAACTTGAAGTGGATCGGATTAGCTCATCCTGTGTTAGAACAGTGATTTGGATCACAATTACGTCAGGCTGTCCGGTGTGCCACTGCTTTGTCAACATTATATATAAATCTTGCACCGTTTGTGTCTGTTATTTGGAAAGCAATTTTTTCATTTACTTCACTCCTTTTTTTCTAAAAAAATAATCATAAGCTATATGTACTGTAGACACCAATGGGGATAGATATCACACTATCACAGTCAATCTTATAACTTAATTGGGTGTATGAAGGAAGAACAACTTCTCTTCGCCAATTTAGTTTAAATATTCAGATTTAACGTGTGAAAACCATATGAGAAGAATTGTCTTGAAAAGTATGTTTCATAACATTATAGTGTTATGAAAAATACTTTTCTTGCAAAATTTCTGTTGGAATATGTTTACTTAAATTTTGCAGACATGATCGTCCTCTAGGCCTCTAACTACATTGAAATGTAATTTATTCACTAATATTTCTAGTACAATCTATTTATTGGATTGGCCACCTTCTTTTTTAAATGATCGCACCCTGTTGCAGGAACTGTAGTATAAAATAAACTAGTAACTAATCATGCCCATAAAGCATCAACTTCCTAACTCGATTTCAGATTGTGTTATTTGAGAAGCTAAGTTTCTAATTTAAAAAGGCTATATATATCTGGTTGCATGTAGAGGCCGGATAAAACATACCCTACTAAAAAAACTCGATTTTCTTATATCCGTTTTGATTTGATCCACCGTCTCTCTTTGTCATGTCATATTCAGGAAGATAATAGTGGCTAAATTTTCATAATAAGATTTGATTGATGCCTCTCAGATCCTCTAAATCTCTAATTGTTCTTAATCATGTACTTATCTTGATATCTTCCATTGTGATTCCACTGACAGGCAGTAGACAACAATCTAATTTGCCATCTTATTCTTGCCCAAGAGATAAGATGACAAAGGGTTACAAAGATTCCTTCTTGCTACTTAAGCTGCTCTGCTGTTCAGTGATTAACAGCAAGTTCGAACACGTGGACAGAGATTCAGTTGATGACGTGCAAGAAACAGTCACTCCCACCTGCAAGTGATTGCCATTTTTTCCCCTTAAAAAAAGTAGTAATCTTTGTACCGTTAGCATGTGTGATTCTCATTATATTCCCTTCAAAAAAGTAAGAATAACCTGCCTTTTGTTCCCAACCAAAACTGCCTGGTTAAAAACAGGAAAAGAGCAAACCTGCTATGCATTTACCACGAGTTAGTAATTAAACACTTTAAAACACCAGCTAATTAATCAATGTACTGTAAGTTTGTAACACCCCTAACCTCAAATTAACCACCCAAAAACAACGTATGCAACAAAAACTGTAAACCAGCACAAAAAACACTCAAATTGACCACACCTCCCGAAAATCAAAGCTGATCAAACCAAACAAGTGCATATATAAACACCACCACCATCACCCATATGCAAAAGAACCACTCCCTCTAATCCAAATATTTCTTGCAAAATTACATTTTTTTAGCTTGTTCTTCCTTGTGTCACAAACATTTCCATAGACCATTTCATTTGATTAGCACTCCAAATAGACACATTCTTTTTCAAACCAAAGTGCATCTCACCACCTCCAATCCAAATCATTCTTGCAAAAAAATTACATCCTTTTTTAGCTTGTTCTTCCTTCTAACACAAACATTTCAATAAATCATTTGATTACCACTCAAAAAAAAAAGACACATTCTTCATCACTCCCAAGCCTCTAACTAATCCAGTAATTAACACTGTAAGTAGTAAATCATTTGATTAGAACTCTAGATTAGTAAAAAAAACACATCTTTTATCACTCTCCCTTGGCCTCCATCCAATCTAGAAGAAAGAGGGAGGCGAGGTCGGCAGCGCAATCACACGGGCGTGAGACCGCCACGTGTCCGGTGAGGCCACCGGCACCACCCGGTCACCCGTCCGCATCGTCGCCGGTCGCCGCCGGTCACCGCCACCGGATAAATACCAACCACCCCTCCTCCTCTTCCCCCATTTCTTCCCCCTTCCTCTTCTCCTTCCTCCTCCTCAGATCAAGAAACCGTGTCCTAGAAACCATCGAGATCGCCCTCTCCCCCCTCGGATCGCGGCCTCTCGCGCGGATCGATCGCTGCTCGGTTTCTTGATTTTTTTTTTATTTTTTTTTCTCCGGTGACCGGAGAGGCGGTGGTGTTTGGATCGGGAGGGGAGAGATGGTGGCGGAGGCGGAGGTGATGCATCAGCCCGTGCCGGTGTTGGAGGTGCCGTACCACCGGTGCGTCGCCAAGGGTGTCGAGGAGGTGGCCGCCGCGGCGGCGGTCGCGCCGCCGCCGGTGGTCGAGGTCGAGGTTGCCGTCCAGGTGCCTCACATGGTGAGTTGCTCAACTTTGTGTTCTGTAGTTCTACGTTTTCAGTAGTATTTCAGTTGGGAGATCGAAGAATTTCGTGGGAAATAACATGGAATCTAGCAAGGATTACTAGCAGTTTAGCAGCTGTTTTTCAGTAATTTTAGGATTGTTTGTTAATACTACTCATGTGAAAAAGGTGCTTTCAGTTGTTGTAATCAGCTCTGATTTTTAGATATCTCTATGTAAATTATTGCTGTCATCTTGTTATTGGATTTTAGGTTTATTATGGAGTTTACTGCCTTTCTGTTTATTACACGAGATTGTTTTCTGTTCGTGGATGCAAAAGACTGACACAGTTTGTAAGAAAAAAAAAAGTAGTCCCTTTTTAGGGGGTATAGGGTGGTGGTTGTAGGCCAGAAGGTTGAGAAGGTGGGTGCTGATATTATTGGATCCATTGTGTAGATAGTGCTAGTGGTAGTTGAGTTGTAGTATGTATTTATGCGCTTTCGCGCAAGTTCAACTTATCATACGAATTTGCGCAGATGATTGTTTATCTAGCCTAAAAGTGTTGTCCTGTTTCTATAGCTGTAGCTGAAACTTTTCAGCTCTTGTTCAGTATCTTATTTCAGTGTAGAGTGGGGTAGTGGGGTAAATCATAGTGCTGCGTGAGCGGCAGGATAGGATTATGTTTGAAACATAACTACGCAAGTAGGTCAGTGGCAGTGCTGGGTATATAATTTAGCAGATTAAGGAAGAATTGGTTGTTTATGTTTGTTTTGTGTCTGAGAAATAAGATTAGTAATTTTTGTGTTTCTGTTCATTATTAATAGGGGTTGGAGAGTGCTGCTGGTGCACCGAGCATATCAGTTGATGCACTACAGTTTGTTCCCAGTATTCGATCTGGTAGCTTTGCTGATATTGGACCTAGGAGGTACATGGAAGATGAGCACATCCGGATAGATGATCTCTCTGCCCATCTTGGATCGCTCTTGGTGTGTCCGTTGCCTAGTGCCTTCTATGGGGTAAGTGTAATCTTCTATGTGAATGCCTACCCTGATTTGTGATTTGTGAATGCTACTTCCTCAGCAACAATGGTTGAACTTATTGCCCGTGCTTCTTCCCTTTGCAATTTTAGGTCTTCGATGGCCATGGAGGCCTGGATGCTGCAGCCTACATGAAAAGGCATGCAATGAGGTTCCTGTTTGAGGACAGTGAGTTCCCACAAGCATCGCAAGTAGATGAAACATATGTTCAGTCAGTTGAGAACTCTGTGCGCAGAGCGTTCTTGCAAGCAGATCTTGCCTTAGCTGATGATTTAGATATCAGCCGCTCTTCCGGAACTACAGCACTCACCGCATTAGTCTTCGGAAGGTAAAAAAAAACATATCCAGTATCTATAGTTGCACATCTCATGCTTCAGTGTGGATGCTCACTCGAGGTTCTGCTGAACTGTCTTGCAGGCAATTGCTGGTTGCAAATGCGGGGGATTGCCGTGCGGTCCTTTGCCGGAGAGGCGTAGCGATGGAGATGTCTCGAGATCACAGAGCAAACTATGCCGAGGAGTGTGAACGGGTTGCTGCATCCGGAGGATACATCGAGGATGGCTACCTCAACGGAGTCCTATCCGTGACACGGGCCCTAGGGGACTGGGACATGAAAATGCCCGACGGCTCGATATCCCCTCTCATCGCCGAGCCAGAGTTCCGACAGACCATGCTCACGGAGGACGACGAGTTCCTCATCATGGGGTGCGACGGGATCTGGGACGTGATGACCAGCCAGCACGCGGTGAGCATCGTCCGACGGGGGCTCCGGCAGCACGACGACCCCGAGAGGTGCGCGAGGGAGCTTGTCATGGAGGCCAAGAGGCTCGAGACCGCCGACAACCTGACGGTGATCGTCGTCTGCTTCGTCTCGGAGCTTGGGTCGCCGCGGCAGGAGCAGGTGGGGGGGCAGGCGGGGGTGGCGAGGCCGAGGAGTTGCAAGAGCCTCTCTGCGGAGGCCCTGTGCAACCTGAGGAGCTGGCTGGAGACTGATCGCTAGGGCGAGGCGCCGGTGTTTGGTTGTGGCCACTTCACACTTGTGTACATATGCTGACATTAGTTGTTTTTTGTTCTTCTGATTTGTTGAGAGGCTGCTGAGGTGGAGCAGGGAGGGTGAGCAGCCGGCAGTTTTGTAGGCCATTTTTTTTCCTCGTTATTATTTTTCTGCGTTTTGTTGACATGTTACTGCTATTGTTCACACCATTGCTGTTGTACATATCTCTGTTGAGTTCATGTATGGATGGACTAGCTTCCCTTGAGCAATACTCTCTCTCTCTCTCTCTCTCTCTCTCTCTCTGTGAAATGCTCTTTTACCAAGTTGCTGTGAGATTCTTGATTGTCCCATTCTTGAAAGACCAATTCGTTGAGATAGATTTAGACCTTTTTTAGATGGGACTAAAACTTTTAAGTCCTTATCACATCGAATATTTGACATTAATTATAAATATTAAACATAGACTATTAATAAAACCTATCTATAATCTTGGACTAATTCGCAAGATGAATCTATTAAGCCTAATTAACCCATAATTAGTCTATGTGATGCTGCAGTAAACATTATCTAATTATGGATTAATTAAGCTTTAAAAAATTTATTTCGCGAATTAGCTTTCATTTATATAATGTTTACTAATTATGGATTAATTAAGCTTTAAAAAATTTATTTCGCGAATTAGCTTTCATTTATATAATTAGTTTTGTAAGTAGTCTATATTTAGTACTTTAAATTAAATTAGTTTCTAAATACATGGACTAATCCAAACACCACGTAAGACTATGGAGAGCAAAACAGGCTCTTCCTGGTTTGTGAACCAAGCAGTTCAAGAATCAATGAAATTAGCTAAGCAGGAAAATACTATTTCCTTGCTAATTGTAGAAGAATCAATGAAATGAGCTAAGCAGAAAATACGTTCCGTTGAATTTTTACTTTCAAAATATGGATATTTCTGAGGATGGGAGTCTTTGGGTAAGATGAGAAGTTTAGATGAAAGGTAACTTGCATTAAATAGTGCTAGAACCGCTTATATTTTAATAAATATATTTTTTAAGTACTAGGCGTAGTTATATTTATTTTGGAATAGATGGAATATCAGTGTTAGATGCATACACATATCTCCAGCTCACCAAAACAAAAACCTAGGTAGTGTTAAAGCGTTTAGGCTAGTTGTTGGGCGTTGGGGCTGATACTGCTATCATTTATAGAGTGGATAATCTAGGCAACCGGTCAGACGAAATACCTAAAGGATTGTCAAATTCCTATCGAGACAAGGAGCCAATCAGGACATGAATCCAAATTAGCGACGATTTCACATGGAAAAAAGAGGCACACACGCTACTAAGTTTGCTGCTAATCCTCAAGCTCAGGCAGCTCTGTTCACACTTCACACCAAGCTAATAATGGTCTAACCTCTCCTTTTGGGCTCCTCCCTTTTAAGTCTCTTGCGATAAGGCAGCACCTGGGTTTTCAATGTATTCGCACTTCAGCCATCAGCCGCCAACCTTTTTGCTCTTGTTCTTCTCTCTCTGCAATGAGATGCCAACTTGTAGAAAGTTACAGCCACTGCAAGTCTCCGATTGACCATGAATGCGAGATTGACAGGCATAAAATTCAGAATTTTATAGATGCTAACACTGGGTTTACTATACCACTTGATATCTAGCACTCACCTATTAGGACTCACGAGTGGGTTGTTAGCTGGTCAAATTCGGCTGTACTAACCTGACAAACTGCACACCGGTAAAAGAGGTAAAAAAAAAACCCAAAGATGCACTACAATTCTGAACTGCGCTAGCAATGAGAGATAAAAGTCCATAGTGGACCAAATTGTTCTGGAGGCAGTTATCTTTTGCTCTCCTCACTAAAGCTAACAATTCCTGAGAATGACAGGAATCAGTGCCCGCTCCGCTTGTACGTCTGACGCCAATGCAAAGGGGATAGTTGAAGCAACTGGGAGCAACCGATATTTTGCAAGACGTGTTCCGAAACCTAAACAACCAGACGCAAGAGGCACCATTATGATAGTATATCCGAATAGACTGCCAAGCTGACGCTGATATGTAGAACCTCTCTCTATTTACTCCGCTGTGTAAACATGTATTTAGATACTTGTGTTGCTTGAGGTTTAACTTGGCAGGGATGCCTGGCTCTGCGTGGATCTTCCAAAAGGGAGGAGGAGATCAATCATGGAGTCATACTCCTCTCGGCTAACCTGAGCCGAGTTCAAAAGCTGCAGCACACAAAAGGGAAGAAAGATCAGATTTCTTAAAAAGAATATGTGCATCCGTCTACTTGCATAGCAGAAAGGCAGGGAAAGGCATCATCACCTTCTGCAAAAGCTTCGAATCTGACATTATTGGAGCAAGAGCAGGAAGCCGATGGAGTGAGAGCGCATCAAGCAGCACGAGAACCATCAATTGCCACTGCCTTGATCTCAGAGAAGGCAGTGCATCAACAAATGACATCGTGTCCAACAAGTATCCCTAGTGGGGAGGGGAAAAACACATTAGATGCACACTAATTATAGCTCTAAATGTTAATTACTGAAACTGTAATCAAACTAACAAATAAAATTCTTGGTGGCAACATCTAGCAGTTAAGCTGTCTTCAATAGAATCAACAAAAAAGAGACTGGCCCTAATTCAGAATAACTGTAACGTACAGCCTCCACTTCGTCTTATCTATTTCCAGATATGCGCAGCTCATCACCCACACTTATGAATGAGAGAGAACCCCAAATGACTAAGAAATTATTGTTAAACTGACCAAGATATTAGTAGCTTGATTGATCTCAGTCAAAGGTGTCTAGATACCAGAACAAAATGCAACGAAAAGCCTCTTCACAGCCGCTGCTGAAAAACTATATGTACTAGCCAGTAAATACATATCCAGGTTCAACTAGGTCACTAACCAATTGCGGAGTCCTTATTCTTTTCTTTTAAAAAATGTTTTAACTTTTTAATTAGTTTGTTCAACTAGCTTTATCCATACCAGAGTAATCTCCAACTTTGAGACTGGAATTTGCATCCTCAAGTTTGATACAAGAACTGGCAGGGCATTACACACACAAGTATCCAAAGCTCTTCTAATTTCAGATGAGTGGCCATCATTTAAAACTCTCTTCTGAGGACATTCTCTTCCACCTGCAATCAACAAATCTTCCATAGAACTTTCATCAAGCCCATACACATAGGCCAATGAGGACCGGGATACCCATCCAAATAATGCAGCCCACATCGTTGCGAAGGAGGACAGCTGAAAAGGAAAAAAGGCATGACATGCCAAATTCAACCAGAAGGAAAAAAAAGAAGAAGTGCTACTTTATTTTTTCTCAAGAATTCTTACAGTTAGACTAAAGCCTTCTGGTGGTGTATCATGCCAAGAATCATCGACATCAAACATATCTGTGTCTAGAAGCACAGTCTTCTTCGGCCACTTCACAACACCCCTATCAATTTCAAATATTTCATTTTCCCCTGCATCTTTGTCATTGTCATAATCATTATTGTACTGTTGCTGGTTAACCATGTCCGGCAGTATGATGATTCCTGCCTTTGAAACTGTTACCAAAAGGCACAGGTTAATACATATCAAAAACAAAAGCTGCATGTCAAAGCACCACAGGGTTAAGGAATAAGTGTTCACCTGCATCTTCTACTTCCGATGTGCCAGATGAAATAGCTTCTGCTGCTTCAATAAGCGCAGCTGCACAAGCTTCTGCAGATTCACGCCTTACTGAACTGTCCATGCTTTCTTGAGATTTACTGGAGTGACTTACAAATGCTCTGCTTGTCTCTAACACACTTCCATTCTCGTCTGCCCATTTCACAGAATGCCCTGCATTCTTGGATCCAACAGCCTTCAATGAAGATCTTAGTGTACATCTACCACTATCATCACTTGTCTCGTCTTTTGCAATGTTAACTGCATTACTAAATAATTCATCTAGTTCTTCAGTGTAAGCTTGCACTGAATCTATCGCTGCATATTGAGATGATGAAGGCTGCTCATTTGCTAATATAGAACTTGAGAAATTATATTGACCCAGAGCACCATGATCCATCATTTCTGAACCACGATCACCCATAATAATTGTACTTGTAAAGTCCACTTCATGTCCATCACGCCCAACTGGTCTTTTTGCAGGCTTACTCTTACCTACCCTCGATGTTCCTTTAGCTGCTTTATTTTTCTTCTTATCCTTTTTCTCTTCGAGAACTACATCCTCCAGCTGCTTCACAATGGAATCCGATATGCAAGACGACAACATATCATTATCTTCATCCTGCTTGAACATCTTCAATGGGGTTTTGGTTGCTTCCTTTTTCTTTGCTTTTGTATTCTCAGTAAGAACCATGCCGGATTCACCAGAAGAAGCATTCCTAGAATCCACATTAATATTACTGGACTGCTCAGCACTACAAGCATCGTTCTGTTTAGCCTCTTTTTTTGGCCCTGAAATACAGAACACAAGCTCATTGTTTCTTCAATTGTTCGAAACTAAGACAGGTCGAACAAAGAGCAAGAATGAGCATATCCTTTTCATATATATAAATGTGCCTGCAAGTAAAACTATTGTTACTCTTGTAACATTGTCACATCTAGTTCTAGAACATTATTTGAATATAAGAAAAACAAACAGTGCCTAGGAGGTAGGAGCTAAGTACCACCACACTCCCACCAAACCACCACTGCCTTGGTGGCTTGGTGTTTAGGCACTAGGGACCAGTTTGCCACCTTGTTAGGCAGTTTAGGCACCTCCGTGAGCAGTGAGAAAAGAGGAACAACACATGATGCTTACAAAGACATGATTTTTGTATTTCTTCGGGGAAATATTGAACAAAACCTGAGCGCTTTTCATTGACAAAGTAAGCAGCTCATCTCTCACCCCTCTAATCTCTCAAAAAAGAAGTCACTACCTCCCATTAAAATCTGTAACGTACTTCCAAAAATTAATTACTCTCTCAATCTCCTATCTTCGTTCTAGCGTCCCTTATCAACAACAATATGTAGGTCTAAACAAAATGAGTGAATTGCCTAGTTGTCCTCTTGTAATTTGAATGACTGCAACCAAAAAATATGGCACCACGGTTATGTCTATTCTTCAGCTGTCCCTTACCATATTTGATAGCTCTCAATTATTACCTAGTTGATTGTTTCTAGTCATACACAAATGCTACTAATTTGCTAATCAGGTAGGGAGATTTTACACAAGGAGTTTATAACTAGTTCACCAAAATGTTGTAGTTGTACATGTTACAGAGAATTTTCCTAACTGCTACTAGCAACAACAATTGTTGATACTCAAAGTAATTTACTACGAACACTACAAATTCCTCCATTTTCTATCTTCCAAAGTTTTTTCTCTACCTAATTTGAGCACAAAGGATAACAGAGAATGCCACCGCCATAAACCTCACTCATCGTACTACTAACCTATGGCAGCACAATCAAACCAAACGAGTAAATAATTTGAACAGAAAAACCAATCAATGCTCAATGCAAATAGAAATAGAAGAGGTCAGCAAAAGGCGATTCACCTCCAACGACGCGATCACGGCGAGGCACATAGCCCTCGATGGCGTCCGACGGCCCAATCCACTCCTGCAGCGTCACCTCCCCCGTCCCAGCCGCCTCCTTCTCCATGATCTCCACCTTCCTCCCCTCTTCCACCTCCTTCCCATCGCCGCTCGCCCCAAACCCTAGCGCCAACCCACCGTCATCACCACCACCACCACCGCCCTCGAAGAGCGCGACGAGGGCGTCGAGCCGGTCGGGCGAGACGCCGAAGGGGCGGTCGGGCGGGAGCGACGCCCCGAAGGCGGCGGAGGCGACGAGGCAGCGCTCGGAGCAGAACTTGCGGGCCTCCTCGAGGTCGTACACGCGGTGCTCCCGGAGCGAGATGCGGAACCGCGGCGCCGCCTTGCCGCGGGCGTCCTCCGAGGGGAGCGGGTTGGGGCACGCCGGGTACCCGCAGGCGTCGGCGATGGAGCGCTCCGTGACGACGTCGGCGTAGTCCGGCCCCGAGAGCAGCGAGGCCGCCGCGCGGAGCAGCGGCTCCCTCGACGCCGCGGCGCCGTCGTAGAGCGCCATCTGGACGCGGTGCACCGCCGACGCGACGGTCGTGGGCTTCATCCTCGCGCCGGTGTCGGTGGCCGTGGTGGGGCCCATGTCGTCGTCGTCGGCGGCGGCGGCGGCGGCGGCGAGGGATTTTGGGAGGAGTTGAGTTTTTAGTTCAGAGTCGAGACGAAGAGGAAGAGAGAGGGAGCTAACATTGTCGGTAGTAAGGCGGTTTTCTGGGTTGTGTGTGGGCCGGGCGGCCCACGTAGCCCGATGTGAGTTGGATGGGCCTTTTGGGCTTGGGCCTTGTAAATTCGGGCAGGATAAGTCCACTTTACATTCGTTGTATTTCCGTCGAGTTTAAATCGTATCCCTAAACGCGATACCGGATACATAAAATCGGGTTAAATTAGATTCAATGGTATTATGATGGCTGGTTCCACTGATGTGTCAGTATTCAGAAAAAGAAAATATGACTATATTCCGTGCAACCTGATACGACGTTAATATCATATCAGATTGCATCTGTTAATGAATGGAGAGGGATAATTCACTTGTACTTTAATATATCATTTTCTTTTTGAATCTGTAATAGTTGGCTTTTAAACATAATATTTGATAATATGTCTTATTTAAAATATTAAAATATGCAAAAAAAAAGAAATAAAGTCCATTTAACGATAAATCTCATAACAAAATAAATAATATATTTATATAGTTTTTTTATAAGACAGATGATCAAATGTAATGTTTAAAAGTCATTACAGTTATACACTCAGAGTGTTAAATGTTGATACATTTAGAAGTCATTACATTATGGTCTATTTGGCTGCTACTTTCATGGTTGCACCGTAACCGGTATGAACAGTGTCACACTCACCGTGTGCAGCCGTAGCCTTAGCCGTTGCAGCCGGCTTGCTGAACCCTCCCTATATTTGGAAGTCGAGAGCATTTCGCATATGCTGATCTAACCAACTGATGGATCCCCTCTTATCACAGGAAAGTGCAAAATAGTGTTTTGCCGATGAGAGCAACCAATGGTGGGTGGGCCAGGCCAATCAAGAAATGGAGATGTACAACCACATGCTGCTACCACACTAGCCAGCAACACCTCACCTTGTTACATTGTAGATATATATGACACGCGTGTCTCACGCACATTTTGTCTCTATTTGTACTTACCCAAAAACAGTTAAGCTCATCTCAGGTACACATGTTCATCATTTAATCACCACCAAAACTAGGTATCAACACTGTGACCGACAATACATTTCATATCACCAGTTAATTAAGCTAGCATACGTGTAAGACAATTAGCCTCCAAATCCACAAAACCTAGCTCTCTGCTCTTCTGTAGGAGTGGGCTCACTACACATAATATCTGATTCAGGGTTTTCAATTTCGATTTTGGCCGAAATTTCAGTACTTTCTCCGGGCTAATAATACTTATCGTTTTAAATAAGGGTGAGGTCAAACTTTATAATCTTTGATTATGAATCATTTTTAAAATATTTATCTTTCACATATAGTGACTAATGGTGACTATATGTATAGATTAGTCTTAAAAAGTAGAGAAAACCCCCTGTATATCCTTGAGAATTCATCCACTCCCTTATGTACTCCTAAATTTTGCCTCATCCCTTATATACCTCTGAGTTTTTATTTTGATCTCCTCTATGCCCATTAATTCCGTTAGTTGACCGTGAGTTGACCGTTAAATGTTATTAAAATTGACTATATTACCCCTCTCTTATACTTATGTGCTAGTTTAATGACAAAAACACAATTATTATATGAAAAAAGATCTGTTTGTAAATAAACAAAGGGAATATAATTATTTGACAACATTTTTTAAAAAAAAATAAATTTTAAATTAACTTTTATGATATCCGTACATTGTTTTCATCAAAATTTGAACCCAACAAATAAATAATTTTGGTTCACAATTTCTAGCTAAAGCTCTTATATGGATTTTGTCAAAAAAAATAAATTTGTTCAATAGTTTAAATTTTCTTTTCAATAAATAATTATGTCCTATTTGATTTTATCATGAGTTACAATTTTTCACATTGTGAATTATGAAGTAGAGTATATAACATGTACTGTAAGAATGGGAAATGGGCGATATGGTCATTTTAGAAAAATTTAACAGTCAACTCACGGTCAACTAACGGAATAGGGATAGAGGAGATCAAAATGAAAACTCAAGGGCATGTAGGGGATGAGGCAAAACTCAGGGGTATAGAAGAGATCGCGAAACTTTTCAGGGGTATGTAGGGAATTTTCTCTAAAAAGTACTTTAATAAAATCATATATTTGTTAACACTTTTATACATATTATAATGAAAAATAATGGTTAATTTTTGGAGACTGTGCTCTTGTTCAAAATGATAAGTATTATCAACCTGGAGGGTGTATTTTCGGCACTTATTGGACCGAATTTTTTTAAAAATTTTAACATAATTTAATTGATAATTTGACTATATTTTGATCAAATTTGTAAATTTTTTTTGAGAAAAACCAAAAAATTTGGCTGAGATAACCGAGATTTCGAACCGAAATTGTAATCACTGACCTTAATTACAAGTTATTTCTTGTTTTATATAAAAGGGTTAATCTGAAATGTGCAATGGCTGAAATAAGCTGGTGTAAACCTGTATAGTCTTTTCATATATAAGGTCACCAAACGAGCACTTGAGTTTAATTAATGTGCCTAAATCGAAACCAGCACATATACACGGGTCGAAACAGAATACAAACTTATATAGATGGATGGGTATAAATTAAAACTAATTAATTCATCCAATTACCTGAGCGCCGTGTGTCGGCCGAAGCCCTAATTACAAAATTAAATCATCGGTTTCTTTCTAACAAGCTGCCACTTCAGTACTTCCTACTGCTGTCAACAACCTCTCTATCTACCTATATAGCTTGTCATCTCCTCATTCACCAGTACAATTAATTTTGTCATTACACTAGGTCTATCCCCATTAATATTTTGGTTAATTAATTAATAATTAATTGAAAAATTGGATCTTAGTCTGGTAGCTACTATTTGCTCTTACATTATCATAGTAACCCAAGATGGTCCTAACAGTGATGTTCTAGCTTACGAAAAGGAAAAATGGCGAAAGCTAGAGGAATGGACCAACCCCGGCTTCTATGATCATCTCTCTCATAATCCAAATTCCTTGATTGATTTGAATGGTCCATATTGCATCATCAGCTTTTACTAAATCATGTCCAAACACGCACAAAAGAGTTGGAAAGAAAGAAACATTGCATCCAAATAAACAAACGAACAAGGGGACATTGATCAGTGTCAAGATGATCCTGCCCCAACCATTCCAGAGATGTACAAATACATTGCATAGACACAAATCTTTGACTAATATAGGAGGAGATGTGTATATACACACGGCACCATCATTACTGCAGATTAAGGTAAGTATCACACTTACAAGTTGGAGTATAATACCCATAAAGAATGATGGCTATATGAATTGATGCACATGATCTATAAATTAAAACTGCTATTTTGATCTGCTACATAGTTGGAGCATCTCTATCAAATACTAATACTACTACTAATATTACTGGGGCAAACTTTTTTAGGGAAGTACATTAATTATTAGTGCAAGCTTTTTTGGCATGGTCAAATTATCTATAGTTAAGTGCTCTTACTTAAAAAAAACTAATTAAGTCCTCTACTAAATATGCAATCTCTGTTGGGCCTGACAACCCTTGAATTTATTTTCTCCCATGTACTCCTCCTACCTACTTTCCATGATGAATATTCTGTCTGTACTCCAACACTAATCAAACAAAGTGGTACTCAAGTACACAGCATGAGTAATATTAGTATCTAACACTGATCATCTAAGTATCTACATATAAAGTAGGGATCACATGTAACTACTAATTAACTAAGTTGTAGCCCCCCAATGCTAGCTAGTTTAATTCATTAATACTCCAGCATGTATCAAAGGCTTCAATTAAAAATGAGCAAATATAGCTGGAGCTAGCAGTATGGCAAATTGCAAAGAAAGCAAAAGCAAGTGCACAGTCTATTCAATATCAAGGCAAAGTTGGAATAATCCGAGCTAGCATGGAGAGCAGCCTGCGTGCTTGATAAACTTTGGAATTATTATTCATGGACCACCTTTGATTAGACTTTTTTCATGGCCAATTAAGGTTATATGCATCTACTAGCTTGCTAGCTTGCCAAGGATGGTTGTTAAGTTCTGAAGACTTGTTCTGAATTGAAGACTTGTGCTGAATTGGAAGCTTGCTTGCAGCTGCCTGCTAGCCACTAGGCTTCAATTCAGGCACGAATTAAACAAGTTGCGTGTCTGCATCGGCATTGCAGAACTCAAGAAAAGATTAATCAAAAGGTCGGTCTAAGAAAACGGGAGAAATTGATTAAAGATGGAGGAGGAAGAGAGATGACAGATCAGTTCCATCTATATTTATAATATTGACTTGAGAGAAATCGTTAAGTTTTTAATATTTCCATGATGCTATATATTCCTACTTGTATGAGATTGACATGTCACCTGCAGCTACTACCTGCAAGTGCATGGCATCATGAACAGTATATATTAGTAGATCTAAACTAGTTTATGCATACAGCAAGAAGACACGGCCAAATGTAATGTGCCTAACCATTTGCAGACACTTGCTGGTCATTGATGAGCCTGAATATTATTGTGTTTGTGTACTGGCCTCCAAATAAAGGCTAATTACCACATTGTATAATACTGTTCATCATTCTGGATGGCCTTAATTCAGCTGCTGTTGCTTACTTTCTGTGCAATCAATCTGCCATGCATGACAGGATATGTATACAGACAAGAAAAAATGGATGGGTAGGAGTAGATTGATTGGAAGAGTGTGTATATGGTACTACTAAATTCAGTTATAAATAGTGGCGTTTAGTTTGTACTACAGTGATATGAATGATCACCTATGCACTAGTTTATTTTTAATTGCTAGTACAAAATGCAAAATATATTTTAAAATGTACCCCAAAACAGATCTAGCCATACCGTTTTCAAAATTGAATCGAAGTATTGCAAAGATATTGATGATAAGAATTTACAGACACATTAATTGTGCATTTTACAAAATACATAACTTATTCGTAACATGAAGGAGGGAGTATACATAAACACGGAATACTTTTGAAAATCCTGTATTATATAGTTACAACCCACTAACATCATTTACTCTTGTAAAGAAGCCTATGCGTACGTGAGGCCACACATCGAGAAGCCAGAAGCTAAACCAATAGACCAGTAGAAAGTTGCTTTGTATTTTTTTCAAAATTCTTGTACCCCCTCATGTTCCTACTATGTGACACCATTTGTCGGTGAACCTTCGCTTTTTCTCTCCTTCTATAATGAAATTGGCAGAGCACCTGCCCCTTCCTAAAAAAAAATATCACTTTTATATATCATACATATTATAGGTATTTAGTTAAAATTGATATTTGTTTCATATAATTTCCCGTGTAACGTGCGAGGTGTCGTCTAGTTAATCAGAGAGACGACCGAGACAAAGAGAATGCATATGTAGTATGGCAGTACAAGGAGGTTGCACGAAAGCGACTAAAAATTGAGAAGGCAAAGGGCCAGCAGGGAGGGACGTTGGCATGGACGGATCATGGAGTCACTACTGTTCGTACATATACATAGAGCATTAATCTATGTGTGCGTGTCAAAGAAACGAGAAATTAAGTTGTTTAATGATCTCAACAAAAAGGAAAAACGATGGGATGGAATGGAACTCTGCAACCACCAGGATATGATTCGAAATATGCTCAACACGATTGCATCCATCCATCCATCTGAATTCGTAATTGAGGTTGGATCGAAATTTAACCTTATGCTAGCTCCAGTTAGAAATGCCGATAGATGTATCGATCAATGCGTGATGTGTGCACGGTTTTCTTGTGCCACCGACAGCGCCTCGCCAACAACCGACCGGAGTTCAAGGAGAAGGAGAGGCTAATGAGCAAATATCAAGCTATTCATGAGTGGCGACGATTGGTAAATTCACTTGTACTTTTGTATGAACATAACATGTTTCATACTCATAAAAATATTTGATGTTTAGTACAATATTTGATTTTTAAAACTCAAACCATCGACGATTTCTCAAATTGATTAGTTTATTAAAAAAATACAAAAGTAATTATATGTCTATATTTGACTTAATTAGGAAGCAAGATATCATAAACTTAATGTGTTTTACAAACTTATTCCAACATAAAATTTTTAATGATCAAAATATTAAAAGCTTGACCAAACATTATCATAAACATTAAATATTTATGTTGGAGATGGTAGGATTATATCGAAACCAGTCGGCGCACATGTATACAAGTAATTCGATAATTATTGTTGTACATAAATAAATCATACTCCCTTTGTTCTTAATATTTACACTTGTCTTGTAAATTGTACAGTTTTTTTTTAATGAAGTGAGCGTATCTCAACTGGTTAGATTCCTTGTGGTGGAATCAATCTACTTGGATTTAAATTATAAATTTAACACGGGTGCTTCCTTGATAACTTCATAATATTTTTTTCACGAATGCGCAAAAGGATTGCACGTCAATATATTTGACACGGGTGCTTCCTTGATCCACTCTCTCTTTAGTCTCAGTGGTTCTGGAGTCCATCCATTCATAGAGCCATATGTGGCATTTAGCTGGCGTCGCTGTTTCTGGGGATTTGTTGGGAGTGTAGCATGGCTCGGTGCCTTCCGCCGCTTGGAGTCTGTTTTTAGCCGCCGTAGTTTCTCTAAGTTTCTTTTGCTTTTTCTCCCTTCTCCTAACATAAGTCGGTCTGGGCGATTGCGTTGTGTGTAACTTCGTAATCTCGACATATGCTGGCCCCCTCGACACGCCGGCGTAACGACGGCAAGGGGTTCCGGCCGGCGACTGTGGCGTGGGCTGCGCGCATTTCTCGAAGCGGCAAGACGTACGTACTACCTCCATATTTGATATCGATCATGAATTACATCAGAGATCAGTGACACGCCATGGCAGTATGGCACGCACGGATCGATCCGTCAACGCCCCAACTGCAGTTAGGTGGCGCGATAGTAACAAGCATAAATCGAACCCTTTTAGTTACTTTTATTTCTCTCCTTTTTCTTCTAATCTCCTCATTCTTCTTAATTCTTAAGATATACTCCTACTAGAAGAAGAAGAAGAAGCAGTACAGTGATTACTGTCTTACTGAAGCATCAGAGCCCATCACTCTCTCCCTTTCTCTCTGAAAACTCTGTAAACTAAACTGATCTGCGAATTAAAGTTAAATTACAAGCGTTTTTGCGCGGTGGCACTTCACTGTCACACATGATGACCCCGCTCACATCATCACTTAGCAAAGCTGACCGTTAAAACGCAATTTCCCATCGATCGTGCAACGATATATATACCACCTGCCACCCCTTCTTCTCCTCTCCACCCCCCTCTCTGCTTCCCTCCACACTGCCTCGCCAACCAACCACCGCTACACACGAGGCGGCGCGTGGCCGGAGAGCGAGAAAAGGCGACGTACCCATCGATAGCGAGAAATTAAGTTGCCGGAGAGGAGGAGGATGACGATGAGGTTGGCGGCGGCGGTGGTGGTGATGGTGGTGGTGGCGGCGGCGGCGATGTCGGTGGAGGCGGAGCTGAGCGTGGATTACTACAAGAAGAGTTGTCCCGGAGTGGAGAACGTGGTGAGGTACCATGTCGCCAAGGCGCTCAAGGCGAATCGCAAGGAAGGCGCCGCCCTCGTCCGCCTCATCTTCCACGACTGCTTCGTCAGGGTAATTATCTCAATCAGATAATTAACTTTCTTGCATATCAATTATTGTAGCGGCTCATGATTGATCCATCCATATATATCAATCTACATTTGCAGTACGTACTAGCTAAGGTTTACTAGCTAGCTTAACTGTTAGTTAGTTGTGTGTGTACATAGTACAACTTGGCTTTGCAGAGTTTAGTTGTGTTACAGTTGGTTTCATTCTTCAGAATCACTCATCAGGTGATCGATCCATCGAGGAAACTTATCACATTCTAGCTAGGTTAGTTGATTAATTAATAAGGAAAACAACTTTACTCTTGATGGAAATAACAGCAACATTTACACAAACTAACTAAGCAACTACTCAATCAGCATCTTATCTTACACCAACGTCGTCGTCGCCGCATAAGCGTGTATGAGAAATGATCAAATCTTAAGCTAATATACATAACACAGCTTCTTAGTTAAGTCTCTGAACCCCACTTGGTTGGTTGTTGTCAAGATCAACACAGATAGTTATCAGCAAGTTAGCAGCCACACGCCACTGCATTTGACACACTGTCATCACTCCATCCAGAGACAGTTTCTTCTTCTTTCTCTTCCTTTCTTTCCATGCACAAAAGAAAAGAAAAGTTCAATGGAGACCTAGCTAAGCTAAGCTAAGCTAGTTTCGTGAGCTACTTGACTTCTACTAGTTCACTACTAATCCAACATGGCAAGAGAGAGAAACTAAAGGTAGATTAGAGAGAGAAAGATAGATAGATAGAGAGAGAGAGAGAGATTGGTAGCCAGCAATTCAGCATCTGCAACATGCATGCTGGAATCGAATGTGATACTTTCCTTGTGTCCATCATTTGGACTGTCAATGCATGCTACACCTTTTTTTTTCCCTTCTGGCTGCTTAGCTAAACACATAATTAAGCTGCATTAGCTTAGCTTAATTAGCTCTAGGGTCCCAGAAACACTATGCCCTTGTCGTCAGTTTATTCCCTCTCCTTTCTTTTCTCTGCATGGGTGCCAGCCAGATGCAGCTGCTGCTGATGTTGCTGTGATTGGCAAGCAACATGTAACTACCTATTCAATTGGTTCATGCATCATCAGTACGTTTTGCATACACACAAATAATTAATTAATTAGACTCTCATGTATATCATATTAGTAGTAGTAGTAGTTAAACATGATTTTATTGGTGTTCGATTTCTAGGTAAGCTCAATTAGTGGGATATGATTATGTTTGGATTGTGCTTGGGGCCAGAGCTTCTTTGCTTCCTATGGGGCAAATTGTTTTCTTGTGCTGATTGTCTAGGAGAGAGAGAGAGAGAGAGAGAGAGAGAGAGGAAAAGGACACATATGGGAGAGAAAAGGGGACACTGTGTTGAGAAAGAGAAAGCATACCTATATCTCTCCAGAGTCATGACCAATAATTGGTACCACTAGCTCCTCAGTCATGAATAGAAAAGAGAGTAAAAGTAATTAATTGAACTTTTTTTTACTTACCCTTTTGATTAACAAGTAATTAGTGCATGTTCTGACAGAGTTTCAGCACTCTCATCCAAGCAAGCATCCTAGCTTACTTGGCTCTAAAAGTTCTTGGAGTTGCATTTGTTCTGATTAAATTACATATTTTGATTGGTTTGTGCGAGCCAATTTGTGTTCATGTTATTAGACTAAAAATATAGAGTGAAACTATTTTATTTAGACATGCAAGAATACAACATAGGTCATTAGTGGCTACGGAATTGAATGAGCACATTATAGACGAAATGGTCGGTAGCATCGGTAGTCTTTCTTTTTGTTCTCCTCTTTTTAAGAAAATAATAAAAGAAGATGATGTACATATATACAAGTTGCAGCATGCATGGACTTTTCGTTGTGTGGTTTAAGCATCAGCAGCAATAGAACTGTTCAAGTAATTAAGAACCAATAATGCATTTGCCCTCTCACCGACACTACATATGCAATTATATGTGCATATCGTTTTCCAACAACTCAGCTGACGATGATCAATCGATCGATCTATCACACATTTTTCTCAAGGGGCTCTAATATAATTAAAGGTTTATTTGCCATAGCTTCAGCTCCATCTTTTAAAAGTTGGAGCTCAACGAAACAGTTTCAGCTCCATCTAAAATAAGAGTAGATCTGGTTGAAGCATTCTCACAAAATAAATTAGAGAGGTGGAGCTAGATTTAGACTGTTCCACAACTCCACTCCAAATCCAACTCTTAAAACTAAATTTAAGAGTTGGAGCTCTATCAAACAGATCCTAACTGTGCTTAAGTACAGATAGGATGACTTGCCAAGCACACATATAGTTAACAGTATTAGTATTAACTACTAGTGTTTTGGACGGTGGAACAAGAGTAGGAGGTATGAGATCGATGATGTGTGGAATTAATTGAACGATTCCGTGGAGATGTTTGGTCCAAAGGACGGTATGATTCGGCCTAGTAGTGTTAGGCTCATTGGTTGAGAGAATAAAGAAGGATGAAACAACTATAGAATAAGTAGCATTTTAATACAAAACAAATTTAATATAATGATATTTTTAATTATGGATTTAATAAAACTAATTCGGTGTTTTATATGTTGCTAAGTTTTTAACAAGCTTGGTCAAACTTGATATAGTTTGACATAGGTCAAAAAAAACGTCTTATAATATGGTGTGGAAGATTGTTAATTGACTAACTACCTAAATTGGGGTATATAGAGAACTTCAACATATGCAGAGTGTTTAAGGCATTATTAGTTGACTACATTGCGCGTGCTTAATTTTTTATCAATTGTATTGTCTAATCATGTGATAATTACCGTTAGCTAACATAATTATGACATACATTTAAATCTTACCCCGATATTCACTAATCCCAAAACATCTAATTGTTACCAGTCAAATTTATGGATCATTCCTGCTTATCCTACTATGGTTCTACTTGTACAATGCAGAAATTCTGAAATATTTCTGCCTAAAAAAATTCAAAATTCGAACAAATTTTAGTATAACGATTTGACCTTTTTTTACCACGCAAACAATTTTAAGTTTGGTCAAGTTTATGAAAACTTTTTGTATTTGAATTGTTTGGCGCCATTGATTAATTACAATGTAAAAAATGCACGACAAATTTGAATTCTCAATTGGTTGCTGATTATAGTAATTTTTTTTTTAAAAAAACGCGCGAATGTTAATGATCGATTTGAATTGGAATGGGTGGTGCAGGGGTGCGACGCGTCGGTGCTGCTGGACCCGACGGCGGAGAACCCGCACACGGAGAAGACGGCGCCGATCAACATCGGCCTCGCCGCGTTCGAGCTCATCGACGAGATCAAGGCGGCGGTGGAGGAGCGGTGCCCGGGCGTGGTCTCCTGCGCCGACATCGTCATCTACGCCGCCCGCGACGCCTCCATCCTCCTCAGCAACGGCCACGTCCACTTCGACGTCCTCGCCGGCCGCCTCGACGGCCGCGTCTCCCGCGCCGCCGACGCCCAGCGCGACCTCCCGGACTCCACCTTCACCATCTCCGAGCTCATCCGCAACTTCCGCCGCAAGAACTTCACCATCGAGGAGCTCGTCATCCTCTCCGGCGCCCACGCCGTCGGCGTCGGCCACTGCTCCTCCCTCCGCGCCCGCCTCACCGCGCCACCCGAGCAGATCCTCCCGGGATACCGCAGCCTCCTCGCCGGCAAGTGCGCCGCCGGCGAGGACCCGATCGTGCCCAACAACGTCCGCGACGAGGACCCCGCCGCCGTCGCCGCCACCATCCCGTCCTTCCTCCCGAAGCTGAGGAAGTTCGAGTTCTTGGACAACAGCTACTACCACAACAACCTCGCGAGGATCGTCACCTTCAACTCCGATTGGCAGCTGCTCACGGAGAAGAAGGCGCGCGGCCATGTCCACGAGTACGCCGACAATGGCACGCTCTGGGACGAGGATTTCTCCGACGCGCTCGTCAAGCTCAGCAAGCTGCCATTGCCGCCCAAGGCCAAGGGCGAGATCCGCCGCCATTGCCGCCGCGTCAACACCCACCACTACTGATTCTTCATCCTCATCATCCCAACATCAAGCCTTCCATCTTGAGCTCTCATCTGCATCCTCATTTTCAATAATTCTTTGTTTCATTATTCGCATGGTTGGTTCATCATCGTCGTTTAATTTTGTGTATCTTGTTCTTTTTTTTGATTTGTTGGTGCTCGTCGATCTCGTGTTGAATTGGTTTAATTTTGTGTTGAATTCTACGCGCATGTGTATGTGAGAACACCAGTACAGCGAGAATTCATGGTGTATAGTAGCTTTTGTGTTGTTGCATTCTCTGTCTATTGGTGTCAAAAAGAAAGAAAGTTAATTAGTTGTTGTTTTTTTTTTTGGTATGGTTTGGATTGGATTTGTATTCATCCATCCAAAACTTTCTCCATTTTCATGTAATAAGGAGGGATTACAGAAAGATCGATATATGGCACTGGCCACTTCAATTATGTTCCATTTCCAGTTTTAACTGTGATGAGCAAGCCCTACTGTCATTGCTAGTCCAGATCCTCTGTTTTTAATGGATGTCAATTTGCTTCTAGCAAAAAGGAAACATGAAATGAAAAGAAAAGAAGCACAAAATTATGCTACTCCTTCATGTTAAACATACTAGTGATTTCAATGGCACAATGTTAATTCTTGAATTATTATCACAGTAACTCTAGATGGCAGCAATTATATTTGGGCCCATCCACAGGAAGATTCGATGGGCCCAAATATAATTGCTGTCATCTAGAGTGCAAGCCTAGGGCCATTTGGACCATGAGAAACGTGTTGGGCTCAAATGTGACTTCCATTCATGAAATTTAGACCGGCCCATTAATCATCTAGACCCAATTGTGGGCCCAAATTGCCATGCTTGAGACACATGGCCCATATGTGCAGTCCAGCGGGATCACAGCCCATTTCGCTAATCAAGCTGGACTCCAACACACATCGACGAGGCCAGGGAATAAGATCACTTTGACTCCCTCAACTGACCACCGAATCTAAATCGTATCCCTCAACCGTAATACCAGAAATCTCGACCCCCCGAACTTGCGAAACCGGTGCAATTTGACTCCCTCGGCGGTTTTGGGGGCGGTTTCGCTGACATGGCACCATGTGGCGCCTACATGTAGATATTGACCTAGTCTTCGGTCCACGTGGCGTTGACGTGGCACTTACGTGGCAGTAGAATTAAAAAATATACGTGGGACCCATTAGTCATTCACACAAAAAAACTGTGGGCCCACTGACATGTGGGGCCCACATGTCAGCCCTTTCTTCTTCCTCCTCCCTCTCTTCCTTCTCTCTCTTTCTATCCCCTTCTTCCCATTCGGCCGACGGGCAGGAGGGCGGCTGGCGGCATCGGGGCACATCAGAACCGGACCAGGGGCGGCGGTCGGCGGCTAGGGCGGCGGTGGCTCCGCCGCGACGGCTCGCGATAGTGGGAGGACGAGGGGAACGACGGCGGCGACTGGCGGCAGTGGGAGGACGAGGGGAACGGCAGCGGCGACTCGCGGCAATGGGAGGACGAGTGGAACGGCGGTGGCGGCCCGCGCTGCCGCTCGTCATCCTCATCCTCGCGGTTACCGGCGTGGTCTCCGACGGCTCGTGAGGTCGTCGTCGGTGACGAAGCGACTGGCGCGGGGGGTCATGTGGAGGCCGTTGGAGAAGGTCGGGGTGACGGGGCTGGAGAAGGCCAGGGGTGGCAAACACTACAACGCCACCTCCTCCGCCGAGAACCATCAAATCGAAAGAGACAAACAAAACAAAGAAACAAAAGAAAAGGAAAAAAAGGGGACGAGAGGCGGCGCTCACCTCCATGGCGGGATCTCACGGCCGGCGGGGACAGGGAGGGAGCAGCTGGTAGCTGCGAATGGCGAGATGCGACGGGGACTCCGAGGCGAGGCCCAAGAAGCTCCGATGGCCGCCGCCGCTCCCCTCGTTCGTGCGCCGTTTCCATTGTCGGTAGACCCCGGCGGTGCGCCACCGCCTCCCCACCGAGGCCGAGCCGGGCCGGCCCCCGCTCTTGCTGCCCTCTCGACCGCCGGCCAAATGGGAAGAAGGGGAGAGATTGAGAGAGAAGGGAGAGAGGGAGGAGGAAGAAGAAAGGACTGACATGTGGGCCCCACATGTTAGTGGGCCCACTTTTTTTTTAATGACTAATGGGTCCCACAAATATTTTTTAATTCTACTGCCACGTAAGTGCCACGTTAACGCCACGTGGACCGTAGACTCGGTCAATATCACCACATAGGCGCCACGTCAGCGAAACCACCCCCCCAAACCACCGAGGGAGTCAAATTGCACCGGTTTTGCAAGTTTGGGGGGTCGAGATTTCTGTTATTGCGGTTGAGGGATACGATTTAGATTAGGTGGTCAGTTGAGGGAGTCAAAGTGATCTTATTCCCGAGGCCAGCGAACCAGCGGACCCAGGTTTGGGCCAGCCCCTGACCAGCCCACTACCTATTCGGTCCAAGAGAATGGTGAAAATGTGGGCTCTCGTACCCAGGTCTCAGGCCATAGCCTTAAGTGGCCCAGGACCTGGTCCGCCACTGGATAGAAGTCAGAACTCGCCGGAGAAATCGAAGAAGACCACGGTGATCGACCTAGTGATCTCGTTGGTTTACTGTTCACCGATCGGACCGTCGAGTCAGCCGGTTCAATGCTGAACGGAGGTATATGGCTACTATATATTTTCTATTAAAAAAAATGAGTTTGCTAGCAATATGGTAAACTTGATAATGGGTCTGTTCACTTTGATGAAAAAAAAAAAAAACCTTACCAAATTTTAGCATTTTGGTATAGTTGCCAAAATTTTGGTAAACTTGTCAAAATTTTGACAGGATTTCTTATATAGTTATCAAAATTTAATAGCAAACTAAATGTAGGGCCTGTTTACTTTGATGCCAAAAAAAAACCTTACCAAATTTTAGCATAGTTACCAAAATTTTGACAACTTGCCAAAATTTTGGCAGGATTTCTTATATAGTTACCAAAATTTGGCAGCAAACTAAATGTAGCCACTTTTTTGATAACTTTACCAAAAATTTGGTAAGGTTAAAAATGGCATCAAAGTGAACAGGCCCGTAGCCACTTTTTTTGCAACTTTACCAAAATTTGGTAAGGTTGAAAATGGCATCAAAGTGAACAGGCCCAATGTCTCAATCCGCAAGTCACGGGTTCAAATCACTTCCCACACATGCTTTCTCTTATATTTTGCATAAAATATAAATGGGCCGTGGTGTAGGATGATGGGCCTTACAAGGCTAGCCCAAGCGTTAGCCCAACTTACAATGAACCGCCGGTTCTTATTAGCCCGGTTCGCCGGTTTTCACTAAAAACCATCCGGTTCACTCGGTTCTTACCGGGTCAAATGCATGAGCCGTCCGTTCTACTAAACCGAACCGGTGAGAGGCATGGTTCTGGTTTTACGATTCAACCGCTGGGCCGGTCCGGTTTTTTTACTAGGCTGGCACAACCTTTCCTTTCCCATATCCGGAGGTATCCCAGCCGGCGACTATAGGAGTAGAAATCCGGAGAGACGCAACCTTTTTCTTTCCCATATCCGGAGGTATCCCTGCCGGCGGCTAGGAGTAGAAATCCGGAGATGCAGTGACCAATCGCTGGAAAGAAGAATTGCAGTGGTGCTACTCCCTCCGTTTCATAATGTAAGACTTTCTAGTATTGCTCATATTCATATAGATGTTAATGAATATAGATACACATATATGTCTAGATTCATTAACATCTCTATAAATGTGGGCAATACTAGAAAGACTTATATTATGAAACGGAGGAAGTATATCAGAACAAGGAGCGCCGGCAAGTAGAAGAAGGGTTGGAAGAGGAGGAACACCACCACTATATCCCGATTAGTTTCAGCACGTGGGGTATGTGCGTGCTTCCCGGCAAGTGGACCAGCTCCAGTTTCAGAGAAGATGGGAATTGGTGATGATCTGACCACCATCCAACTCGTCGCCATAGCCTACATAGCTTTGCTTGCTTGCCGCGAAATCTGATGAGCATGTCTGAAGAATTTTCCATGTTAAATTCAGAGTTCAGACTTCGCTTACTTGCAATGCGACTTGCCTCCCGATCTAACTACTAGATGGCTCGCGACCGATCGAGCAATTAATCTCCCCATCCACGCACAATCCATCTCGCATTAGTTTTCTCTCAACTTATTCACAATTTCGACTATATATTGCACATGTACACAAGCTTTTTTTTTCTCTGTTAAAACAAATCCATCGTGGCTATATTTTCTCTCTCATTGCCTGGTTATTATCTAATCGGTCACAACTAAAATTTAAATTTATTATTTGATTTTACAGTTGATTTTGTGTTTTTTCTCATTATAATTTATCTTTTAAGCATTGGTTTTTAAATCGTTAAAACACGAATATAAAAGTTTAACCTTCAATTCGTTGCTTAGTTGAGTTTTTTCGTTGTCTATCAGCTACTCACCGTGGACTTCAATTTTTATTGTGGTTTAATAGAGCAACCAACAACAGTTGAACTGTTTAGGAAATATAGATACAGTAGTGTAAAGTTGTATTTGGTTTGATGCTAATATATTTTTTTAGAAACACGGTACAAACTTAAATGCTTATAACGCACGTACACTCACCCCTTGTAAACACACGCACACACCATACCCCTACGAGCACCTTAAAAATCTGAGCAGGCCAACATATAATTAGAAGCTAGTAAAATTTTGATAAGAATTTAGAAAGTGTCAAATTGGATATCGGCAATGCCAATGATTTGGCTTCGGACTAAAATCACCCTATCTAGTATTGAAACTATCGGTAAAAACATTTCAGCTTCAATTTAAAACGGCCCTAAGATTCAATAATGCATCTACCTTGCCGACACTACAGGAACGCCCATCGATCCTTTTCCGTTCGACAACTGATCAGACGATCGATCGAGATAGATATTATGGAGCTAGCACATTTCAGCTCCAGGGCTCTAACTATATAGTACTCCCTCCGTTTTAAAATACTTGACACCGTTGACTTTTTAGTACATGTTAGACTGTTCGTCTTATTAAAAAAAATTGTGAAATATATAAAACTATATGTGTACATAAAAGTATATTTAACAACGAATCAAATGATATAAAAAGAATAAATAATTACTTAAATTTTTTTGAATAAGACAAATTGTCAAACACATACTGAAAAGTTAACGGTGTCAAATATTTTGAAACGTAGGGAGTATATTGCTCAAGTACCAACGAATTGAAATGACTTGTCTTGTCCATTTTAATTTGCACGTAGGCCACTTAACAGCAACTTTGAAAACAAATGGTAGGAGTATTAACTATGGTTAGGACATATTGGGGATAACGACGAAGGCAAGACAAAGATGGAATAGAACGATTCCTTCTGTATTGTTGAGAGAACGTGCCGAAAGATCCGGTTCTTGAATATATTACAGGGAGGATGAAATGGAACGAAAGGTACTAACTATAAAATATTATCAAAAATGAGAGGAGAAATTAGTCAATTTCATTAGTACAACCCAAGTGCATGTTTACCTACATCCACTATCATCATATACATACTTCAAGAAAAGCATAATACTAATATATATTATATCCTCTTATCAGTACAAATATACCATTCTCAATAAAACATCGATTAATGCCTTAGAATATTGTTGCACATGCATTAATTATTTGAATTGTAAAAACCATTCTTCTTCTCCGGGAGCCCTCCATCGGTCTCTTGTTTTCTAGGTGATTAATTTCCGGTTCAATGTACATTAGGTTAACTGATATTACTGAGCAAGCCTAATAATCAGTCAGCTGCTTATTCTAAAATTTTGCTTAATTTTCACTCTTTCTTAGTTGGAGTTAATTCTTGAGACTATTTAGTCGCCTGCGGCTTTGCACTCTCGCGTCTCAACTCTCTCCTCTAGCTTACTGCAACAGCTGATGTGGAAGGCTAATAGCCGGTTATTGTACATGTGCTCGATCTAATGGAATACTTAAATCATATGTTAATATATACTCCCTCCATATTTTAATGCATGACGCCGTTGACTTTTTGACAAGCGTTTGACCTTTCGTCTTATTCAAAAAATTTATGTAATTATAATTTATTTTATTGTGACTTGATTTATCATCAAATGTTCTTTAAGCATGACATAAGTATTTTTATATTTGTATAAAAATTTTGAATAAGACGAGTGGTCAAACGTTGGTTAAAAAGTCAACGGCGTCATAAATTAAAATACGGAGGGAGTAATTAATTGAGCATGTCATTTTGGAGACAATCAGACAACTATATGCAGATTCTAATAAAACAACTCCAAGATACATAATTAAGAACACAATAGACAAGTTGATGAATTTAATCTAGTACAGATTAGTTCATCAGCTAGTTGCAACTAACCCTTGCACATGCATCCAGCATTCCAGCCGATCATTCTACCACTTTGATTGGATATGCTATCTACATGGAATCCACTTTCGAATTTATATCTATATATGCTCGGACTTTTTTTCCTACTATCAGGTTGAGGAAGAGTTAAGGCGCTAATTCAGCTATAGTGCCTATGGAACTACCAACCAATTTTTTTTATCCAAATTAATTAACATATATTTGCTACTCCTACCCAATTAGTTGCAGTTGGCCTGATGAACAGAAGAAGTTGGAGACTGGCAGATTAACTCTGACTTCTGAGATGACTTCTTGTCGATCAAGAGCAGGTTTTTCTCCGTGAAAGATGGAATGACTGAACTAATTAATTAATAGTATAATTTAGTTAGCGCGGGTAGCAATAGGGTGCTGCGTCGATATCCACTATTAGTCCATTACCTAGCGAAAATATTTTGACAATCAGTCGTATGTTATCAAATGTGGAAAAAGTTGTAATTCATATATTATTGTTGTAAGCTCAGCTCACTTTAAGGACGATCTATGTGAGAAAAAATTACAGGAATTTTACATAAGTTAGTTTAGTTTCGGTGAAATTCCTTTTGAAAATCCTCCATTTCAAGGGAAAGCCTAAAAAACTATAGAATTTTTCTACAATTCCACGGACCTAGATTTAGAAAGCAGAATTAGAGTCAATATATAATTATTTCTCCTATTTCTATAAATGTGTTTTTATTTGAATATAGCTACTAAACAAAATACCTATGTTTTGCTACAAATAAATATGAATTATGCATGTTTGGAAAGAATCGATTGTGATGTTTTTTTTATAGATAGAGTACAATTCATCTGTGTACGTGTAGACGTCTTTTCAGGATAAATTTGTAGTTGAGAGATGTAATAAGATTAAGAGTAAATTTCACAAAACTACAGGTACTTTGCACAATCTATCACAAAACTACATATTTAAAAAATTGTCTCATAAAACTACAGATTTAGGGACCTCGTTATCACAAAACTACAGGTCTTAGCTCTCCCAGTTAAATCTACCGTGACCTGACAGGGGTGGCCCACTTGCAGTCTCAGGAACCTTCAAGATGGTTGCCACATCAGAAATCCCATGTCACTCCTCCTCCGGTTGAATCGTCAGTCCACGCACGCACTTTTCCTTCTCCTGGAAGGAACCACGCCAGTCCTCCTGCGCCCTGGGCGGCAAAAGAGAGGAAACGCGGGAACGAGCAAAATAATGGGGATGAAGGGGGGAACCTAGGAGGAGGGAGAACATAGCTCGTTTGCTTCGGAGGCAGATTTGTAGAGCAGTTCTTTCAATTGTGCTTCCCTCATGTCAAGCAGAGCATTCTTGTGGGCTAACTCATCATTCTTCTCTTTCTCCAAACGGTCTTTCAGGGCAAAAGCCTTAAACATGTCAGCTTGAATAATTGCTTCACGTTTCACTCCACGGTCCACCATATCCCACATGCCAGCTAGTGTCTTCTTCACCCTCGAGTCCCATTCAGGATCCACCCATTGAACGAACTTGCATTGGTCCTCGTCTTCCTGAATAAGCCCAACAAAATCAGGTCAAAATTGTGGGGGAAAATTAAAAAAAAAACAAAATCAAAGAAAACAAAAAAACAAACCTCTAATGGACAGCCCAAGAACCTCCTGCCTGTGTCTTCTCCTTCCCAAGCCACCCTCCGTGCTAGACACAATCCATGCTTGCAGCGCAATCGAGTTCCTTTCTCCTCACCATGCCATTCTGTTTCTTCCAAATATAAGGGCACTGCATCCAGACTTACCTCCTACGACCCCAAAGATTTCATTCGATCCCAACTCACCAAATCAAACCCAATTTCGAAAAATCAAAATCAAAACCAATCGCACACTCAAATCCACTAGTATATACATTGCATACCTTGCCCAATGCACAGCTCACGCTACCCTGTTGCTGGGATGGTGCACCTATGCTTCGCTTCTTGCTCGCGCTATTCGCCGATGCCATCTCTATGGCTAGGGTTTCTTCAGGCCAAAGAGGAACGATGCGGTGACCAGGCGAAGACGCGAGACGACGATGCACGCGTGGAAAGTGAGGAATTGGCCACCGAATGGGTCCACGTAGAGGTGGCCAAATGGGCCGGGCCAAACGGGCCGCGCGCGGCACGGCCGGACCTGTAGCAGGCACGGCCCGGCACGGCCTGCTACAGTAACGGGCCGTGCCGGCACGGCCCGTTTAGCCGTGCCGTGCTTGGGCCGCTGGCCGAGCACGCGGGCCGGCACGGCACGGCCCGGCTACTGTAGCGGGCCGGCACGGCACGGCCCGCGGCACGGCCCGGCACGGCACGGCGGCGGCCCGTCAGGCGCGGCAGGCGGGCGGCGGTCCAATGGGACGGCGACACGTGGCACTAACGGCTATTTGACCGTTGAAATTTGAAAATAACCGTTGGGAGGCTAAAAAATTCATAAAAATTCCGAAAAAATTCCAAAAAATCTCAAATTTCGCCCTATAAATAGGGCATGAACCCCAGCCATTTCTCCTCATCCCACACTCCTCATCTTGTGCTCTCAAGTGTTTTAAGTGCTCTCTTTGTTCTCAAGTGTGCATTTTTTTTTTTGATTTTGACAAAATTTGCTCAAATTTTGTCAAAAATCAAAATTAGTTTCGTAGTTCAACAGTTTGATCGCAGAGGTTTGAAGAGCTCGCGGTTGGAAAGATGTAAGTAATATTCAAATTTGTGTATTATTTGTATTGTGTTTGTGAATTCAATAAATATTCGAAAATTTGTTTATGTCGGTTTAAATTTTCAGAATGGATCCGAACTTTCCATACCAGTCACCGTCGTTCACCTTGGGTGATTTCGACCCCAACTACATGTCGGGGTTTGACGGTACCTCCGGATCGGCTCCAACTCCACCATCTGTGGAGGAGGTACCGGTTCATACGGCTGTCGTTGAGGAGGTACCGGTTCAGGAGGCGACAGCTTCGGAAGGATTTTCCGGAACCGCGAGCGGAAGTGTTTCGACACACACCGGCTCGAAGAGATCGAGAACCTCCGGTGTGTGGCAAAGCTTCGACGAGATAAAGGAAACATGCCCCGACGGAAGGGAGGTATCGAAAGCCCGTTGTAGAATATGTAGGCAAATTTTATCTGCTCGTTCTTCTGGTGGTACAGGTCACCTCAAGCGCCATGCAGAGTCGTGTGCCAAGAAGCAAGGAATACAACTCCGGCAGCAGCAACTTATGCTAAACCCAGACGGTACGGTACGCAGTTGGGAGTACGATCCCATGGTTGCTCGGGAATCTCTTGTCCGGTTAATCGCCAGGCAAGATTTACCCTTGAACTTTGGGGAGTCCCCTGCTTTTGAACATTACATTCAGCAATCTCATAACCCTAGGTTTAAAGCTGTGAGTAGGCAAACATCAACTAGAGATTTAGAGAATGTTTATCACAAGGAAGCAACTGCACTTAAGGAACTGTTTAGTACATGTACTTTCTCTGTTTGTGTTACTTCAGATATATGGAGTAGTAGAGCTAGAGAGGATTATCTTAGCGTAGTTGTTCATTTTGTTGATGATGATTGGCAATTACAAAAGAGAGTTTTAGGGCTTAGGTTAATAGATGTCTCACATACAGGAGAAAACATAGCTGAAAGAATTAGGGAAGTAATTAATGAATTTAATCTTGCTGATAAAATATTTGCTGTCACCCTAGATAATGCATCTGCTAATTCTAGAGCTATTGAAATATTGCAACCTTTATTTTGTGTGTATGCTCAATCTTTTCTACTCCATCAGCGTTGTGCATGTCATATAATTAATTTGATTGTTAAGACTGGCATGAAGAGGGTAGGTGACCACATCGATGCTGTTCGTCAAGCAATCGCGTGGTTAACTGCTTCTAACCCGCGGATTGCTGCATGGAAGAGGTTTTGCAATGCGGCCGGTGTGGAAGCTCGTAAGTTTGCCACCGATGCAGAGCATCGGTGGAATGCAACGTATTTAATGTTAAAAGTTGTTTTACCTTATAGTAGTTTACTTTCTGATTTTGTTCAGTCACGTGGTGGCCCAAGAAACAGTGACGGGTCTTCAGTACTGAACGAGCATGTTTGGGCAATTGTCCAAAAATTTTACCAATTTCTAGAAACTTTTTATGATTGTACTCTAACTTTGTCACATGTTTATTATCCAACTGCTAATATAATTTTGCACAACCTTCTTGAAATTGTTACTTTATTTAAAGAATACGAAAATGATGACGTTCTAACTGAACCTGTCTTTCACATGAAACAAAAATATTTGAAATATTGGAAAAATATACCTATGTTGTATGCTCTTGCTTTTGTTTTAGATCCTAGGTGTAAATTAAGGGGATTGTCTGCTATTTTATCACTTGTTGGAGATACTATAGGTGTAGATTATAGTTCTTTTTATACTGAGGTTAGACGTAAATTATATGAGGTTTTTGGAAGATATGAAGTAAAGTTTCAGGAAGTTCGCCAGCGGAGACCCCCTCCTATCCCCACTACAGGTAAGAAGAAGATACAGTGGGGTAGGATTTGGGGTGGATCGTCTTCAAGTTCAATCCAAGGTGGTGGCAGTTCGTCGGCTACAAGTGGAGACGCCTCTTCGCATGTTGTGGCCGAAGAGTTGTCCGGTTATTTGGACAGCGACGCCATCCACCACGAAGCACAAGATTTCAACGTCCTCGGGTGGTGGAATGACCACAAGATAACATATCCTGTGCTTTCAAAACTAGCACGGGATGTGTTGACGGTGCCCGTGTCGACGGTGTCCTCCGAATCGGCCTTCAGTCTATGCGGCCGAATCATCGAAGACCGGAGGACGACTCTGCGCAGCGACCACGTCGAAATGCTACTAAGCGTTAAAGACTGGGAGCTTGCTCGACAACATGCCCAATACACTGCGGACAACCAAGAATTGGCCGCCCACTTCGAGCAACTCTACCTGGATCCAGACCAACCCCAGTAGAATTTTGTTAGAAGTAGTTCTGACCTTTGAGCTGTACTCTTTTCTTTGTCATGGTTTTCTCATTTTCCCCTATGAGTTTTTACATGACAAAGTTTTTAACGAGGCAGCATGTATCATTGTATCCTGTAATGATATAAACATCAATAAAGGTCATTACTATTTTTAACAAATTCTTTTGCAATATTTTCGCAAGTGTGGATTTACCTTTAAATTATTTCATAATAATGAATCACAATCTATATTTTTAAATTTTTCAACACAACAAAAAAATACCATTTTTTCTTTTTTTTTAACATTAGCAAATCATTACTTTTTTAAAAAACTTTTATTTCCATTTTTTAAATACCATTTTTTCATTTTTTAACATTAGTAAATCATTACTTTTTTTTAAACATTTTATTTCCATTTTTAATTTTTTTTTCCTTATACATTTCCTTTGCTTTTTTTTTTTTAAAAAAAAAACTGTGCACACGGGCCGCCGTGCCCCGAACGGCCCGTGGGCCGCGGGCGTGCCGTGCCGGCACGGGCACGGCCCGGCCATCCACGGGCCGTGCTTGGGCCGGCGGCTCGGCACGTGGGCCGGCACGGCACGGCCCGTTTCATCAGCCGTGCCTAACGGGCCGTGCCGAAACGGGCCGTGCCGGAACCGTGCCCGTGCCGGGCCGGGCCGTGCCGCCCGTTTGGCCACCTCTGGGTCCACGAGAGGGATAGAAACACATCCTGCAACTTCTTCGTACAACCGTTCCACCACGCACGCATTTGACATGGGATTTCTGATGTGGCAACCATCTTGAAGGTTCCTGAGACTGCAAGTGGGCCACCCCTGTCAGGTCACGGTAGATTTAACGGGGAGAGCTAAAACCTGTAGTTTTGTGATAACGGGGTCCCTAAATCTATAGTTTTATGAGACAATTTCTTAAATCTGTAGTTTTGTGATAGATTGTGCAAAGTACCTGTAGTTTTGTGAAATTTACTCTAAGATTAAAATTATGTGCTCTATTTTGTAATATTAAAATCATATGAAAGAGTAGTTAGTAAAAATATAAACATTTTTTTTGGCAAAAATTCATTGCTCTTCTTTTAGAATAGTGTAGATATTAATTGGTCTATTTACACGGTCATATAGAGTTTTGGATCCATCATCATAATCAAAGGGTGTGTATATATTTTTCTTTTTCTCCGAATAAGCATGGTAACTTAATTTTAAACCACAAAAGTAAACGTGTTGGGTCCTTTAATTTTTGCTCTAATTAAAACTACAAATTTAATTAATCAGTGACAAACAAACGCGTACAGTTGTCAAGCTGACCAGCAAGAGATGATGATAATCGATCATCGTATATATCATCCGAATTAACGAAATGGATTGGAAGAGAAGGAAGTTGGCAACGAATTGAACTTCGTCCCAACTTGTAATATTTATATATATAAACGTTCCATTTGACTAGCGCAACTAATTAAACTAGGCTTATCAGGCGACAGCGGCGCCAAACTGACAATACAAAGATTGGATTTTTTTTAAGATAATAATATAAATATTGAATAGACGCCCAAGACTAAAACGCATCATCGTTCATAGTCGTCATATAATTGCCATGCATGCACGTTGTCGTTCGTCGACCTTCCTTCATTTTTGGTCAACACATGATCGGCATCAACGTTTATCTACCAACTGCAAGCATGCAAATTAAGCAAGCAAAGCATCATGCATATATATTGCTCATATAAAATAGTGACGCATATTATCCGGTGTGTGCATGCAAGCTAGCTAAGCTAGCCTAACTCAACCCATACAATGGCATAGTCATAGTGTTCAACTATAGCAGCTAGTAGCTAATTAATTATTTGATGCTCATGGTGATGGTGAGAGGTGATCAGCAGTATATATACCCCCTGGATGCACAGCTGCTAATCCATCAATCCATCCTACTTAAGCAGTAGCTAGTAAGCTAGCTAAGCACACACACACTTACTAATTCAGCTAAGGATTTGGAGGATCGGAGATGGTGATGGTGAAGCTTAACGCGGCGGTGGCCGCCGCCGCCGTTGTGCTGTCTCTGTTGGTGGTGGTCGCCGTGCATCCGGCGGCGGCCGACGCCGGCGGCGATTGGTACGGCAAGAAGAGCATCGAGGAGACGGTGAGGAAGGAGGTGGAGAAGGCCATCAAGCACAATCCCGGCGTGGGTGCCGCCCTTGTCCGTTTGGTGTTCCATGACTGCTGGGTCAACGTAAGTATACTAACCACCATTTACTTTTTTTTTTCCGAGTACATGAATGACATACAGACACATACACATAGATCAGGATCCTCTGCAGTCGAAGTCACGTGTCTCTGTCACTGGCATGTGGATCCAATGATCCCTGGACCCACATGTCAGTGACAAATATACCGTGTATTTTGATTGAAGAGGATCTCAATCCCACACGTAATATGTTACACATATTACATTTGCACGTACATATGTGCTTTAAATATATTGTCTTTAATTAACACACTCTCAAAAAGATTTGGATCTGCTAAATGCATAAGTAAACCTGAAGTCCAATATGTATGCAGCTTAGCTTGCAATATAATGCAAATTTCGGTGGAGCTAGATAGGCCTTATGGCATTTTTAGTTTGGCTTTTTTTTCTTTTGAATTGGGGATCATGTAAGAGAACTTGTCATGCTTGTCTGCATTAGCTTTTTTTTTTTTTTTGGGGGGGGGGGGTCTAAGTTGATAGTAAGTAGTAATAACTTTTCTTTTTTTTTTTCACCTGAAAATGATAATTAGATACCTTTTAAATTGTTGGATGATGTTGATGTGGTGCTTGAAAAGTGACTTGTAATGAGTTTGGAGAAATAACCACATGCATGAACAATACTATAACATGAATGGATATATAATAACAAAAAAAAAGCAGGGCTGTGATACCTTTTTAAATTGTGAGATGATGTTGATATGGTGTTTCAAAAGTGATTCACTTACTGAGTTAATTTGGGCAAATAGCTAGCTTGATCTTAAAATATAACAATTTTTAACTATAAATTTGATTTGAATACATTTTTAAATTGTTAAGATGGAGCGCATAACTAATAAAGAATTTTTTCTTGAAAAATGCAGGGTTGTGATGGATCGGTGCTCTTGGACAAGACGCCGTACAGCAGCAGCACGGAGAAGGCGGCGGCGAACAACATCGGCCTGGACGGCTTCGACGTCATCGACGCCATCAAATCCAAGCTGGGCGCCGCCGTCTCCTGCGCCGACATCGTGGTGCTCGCCGGCCGCGACGCCTCCGCCATCCTCAGCGGCGGCAGGATCACCTACGACGTCGGCACGGGCCGCAAGGACGGCGTCGTCTCCTCCGCCGCCGCCGCCGACGCCGTCCTCCCGGAGTCCACCTTCGACTTCGCCCAGCTCAAGGACAACTTCGCCAGCAAGGGGCTCACCCAGGGGGAGCTCGTCATCCTCTCCGGCGCCCACTCCATCGGCGTCGCCCACCTCTCCTCCTTCCACGACCGCCTCGCCGCCGCCACCGCCACGCCCATAGACGCCACGTACGCGTCGGCGCTCGCCGCCGACGTCGAACGGCAGAAGGGTGTCCAGCGCACGGACAACCCGGCGGAGAAGAACAACATCCGCGACATGGGCGCGGCGTTCCAGAGCGCCGCCGGGTACGACGCCGCCGGCGTGGACACGGCGGCGGTGGGGGCGCTGGACAACAGCTACTACCACAACAACCTGCAGAACCGGGTGCTGTTCAAGTCGGACTGGGTGCTGCGCACCGACGGCGACGCCGCCGCCGACCTCGCCGAGTACAGGGACAACGCCACCAAGTGGGACGTGGACTTCGCCGCCGCCATGGCCAAGCTCAGCAAGCTCCCCGCCGAGGGCACCCACTTCGAGATCAGGAAGACTTGCAGATGCACCAACCAGAACTACTACTAGTAGTAGTAGTAACTAGTCAACGATCGAGTCAGCGGAAAAAAATACGACGGTATTATACTAGTATACGCGTAGTGTACGTACATTAATACGACTACTTGTACGTACCTACTGTAATATCACCTTGGTTTAAAATTATTACTACTGCATCGTTAATCTTAAGTCTTTGATTAATTTTGTAGCTAATGTATAATAAGGGCTTATAATGCAATTCATTTCTAGCATTCTATAATTATAAACGTCACATGGTTGGATGGAAATGGCTTGGGCCACGAACAGTCATATATGCCAGTTTTGTGGGCCAGATTACGGCCCTCTTTGTTTAGGCTTAGGCTTATTGGCCTAGACTTTTAAGTCAGCTTATTGGCTTATATGATTTATAAGCCGGTGGATTTAATGTCCTAAGTTTAGTAGTTGAGTCATACATCTACCTCACATAAACCAAAAAAGCTTCTCCAACCTAGCTTTTGGCTTAATAGTGTTAGAGTGGCTTATGGCTTCAAAAAAGCCAAATGGAAAAGCTGCTTGTTTGTTTAGGCTTAGACTTTTCGACTTATAAGTTGGCTTATAAGCCTAAACAAAGAGGGCCTACGGGTTGGGCCAAAAAATGGCTTGCAGGCCGGCACGTACACTCGCAAAATATAACCTGGGGTGTGTTTAGTTCATGCCAAAATTGAGAGTTTAATTGAAATTAGAATGATGTGATGGAAAAGTTAGAAGTTTGTGTGTAGGAAAATTTTGATGTGATGAAAAAGTTGAAAGTTTAAAGAAAAAGTTGAGAACTAAACCAGACCCTGGCTACACTTACACAAACATACACTTGTTCATGTGTGAGCCTTTATTTACACTATGACAAATTATTGGAGGAATCGAGGATTAACCTCTTGGATACTTATATATATACCCATTAAATTAACTTGTATTTACACATTTTCTGGTATACTAGTAACATGTCACATACCCAATATTGTAACAGGTTCATATAATCAAAGAAGACTAAGAGGGTGAATGAGGATAAAATATTGGATCCGGTGATTATTTTAGGTCCGTATAATTAGGGATGACTAAAAGAGTAACTGAGGATAAAACATTGGATCAGTGGTTACTTATACAAAACGTACGGACGTGCTACGTGCGTGGTGAGAGGAGATGGAAGGAGAATGACACTACTTTTTGGTAGTATGAGTGTACTACCGCACCTCTCATGTATCTAAATAAGTAATACTTCACCACAGATTATTTGCTCCACGTTTTTAAATATATGTTTTCTAAAAATTTTTAATGTATTAATTGTTAGCTTAGCTTTCTTGTTTAAAACTATATGTTAAGTTTAATTATTGAATTTATATCTATGATCATGTTGATAATAATTTCACTACGAATCAATAATATGTATAAATTGATCCTTAATATTATTATTAAGTGCTGCTATTTCCTTCATTGGTCGTTGCATGCATGCATTGATAATTTGATATGCATGGAATATTGGGACAAAATAATTGCAAACCCAACCGCTGAAACATGGATACAAGCTACTATGATTGTCCCATTTGCCATGTGCTTCCATCGTGTTTGGTATTTCATGTCAAACTTCAAATATAAGGCACAGTACTGCTAGCCAGCAGTCCACACGTCTGTCCCTCTTCTAAATTAGTATTATTGATAGTACTACAATATATAAGATGCCTTAATTAACTATGTTCCTAATTAAGTTGGATTCAACACTCCCAAATCCAGAAGTTGATCTTCATCCGTCAAAAACATGACTTTTTGTTTTATCATTTAGGTTAATGAGAAAGAAAAAAACTGAAGATTGGATTAAGGAACCTGTGCTGATTCCTCAAATGCTATATATAGAATTAGTTGTAAAAATTTCTGACAATTGTTTGCAAACAATTTTTTTTAGAAACATGGTACAAACATATTCGTTCATAATGCGTGCACACTTAACTCTATAAACATACACACACGCTCATCACCTTTATGAATACACACGCACAACTCTACCTCTATGAGCACCTCCAGAAGATAGGGCCAATATATCTTAAGATTAATGAAGTCACCACAGGCCCTTTATTGTCGACAGGTACGTAGTATACCACTGAAAGAATAATTAGCCGTAAATGCGAATATTCGTGTCAAATCTGGAACTTGAACCCTGGTTCCACCACAAGATATCAAACCAGTTGAGCTACGCTCACTTCGCAAACAATTTAATATTTAAACACATGAGCTTAGCTAACACAGATTCTGCCATGAATAATTATATACAAGCCTTTTGTTCATCAATGTCTTCTTTTTTCCCTTTAATGTGTATATATATCCAGTTGAGACTTCAATTTTTTGAATTTTGAGACTTCAAAGTGATAGAGATTATCATACTGGGCTGTTACCACATTATATTTGAATTTTTTTTAACTACTTGATTGACATTTGGGGAGTAAAGGCACATGCCCTTATGGGTTCGATCGAACAGAAGAGACTTTTCCAAGAAAAAAACAGAGATACATGTATGTATACTAAAAAAACATTTCAAAGGCCAGTATTATATCCAAAGCAGAATGTACCATCGATTGTGTGTTGGATTAATAAAGTAACTGTGGAGATTATGGATACCCCATATCTATACGGCGGTTATATTTAGACTGGATATAGGATACCGAATATAGATAGAATATCTTTATTTGTATCTCGGGTTTGTTTCTTAACTTGTACGTCAAGGAAATATCCTGAGATTTAGTCGGTTACGATTGTATTTTATTTGTATTCTCGTATTCTGATAAGGATATGAGTTATACCTTGTAATACAGACTCCTTCCCCTATATAAGGAGGGGTCCGAGTCCTTCCTGGGACACCAATTCTCTTTGAGATCATACATTCAATAATACACTCGGCGGTTTCCACCCCGGACAGGAGTAGGGTATTACTTCTTGAATAAGAAGGCCTGAACCTGTATAAATCATTTGTCTCCAAACCCATCCACTTTTCAAGCTTGATAGCCACCCCTTTTTAGTATTGCCGAAATCTTGTTTCGACAGTTGGCGCGCCAGGTAGGGGGTGCGTCAAGCTTTTCGCCGACCAGTGCAATGGGTTCCGTCTCCAGCATCGACGACCTCGTCTTCCCACCCGGGCAGGCGTTTCGGTTCGGCAGCCTCGACTTCATCACCAATGACTTCGGCAAGATCTCTCTCCTCGACTCGGAATCGGACCAGTCGGGAGAGAGCCGGATCTCGGTCCCGTTTGGAGTTCCAAACGCGGCTGAAATCTACTTCAAGTCCATCTCAATCGAGTCGGCTTCAAACCACTCGGACGAGATCGCATCTTCTCCAACGTCATCAGATCGAGATGATGGGGCTTACCCACCGATCCTAATGAAGCTCCCCGACGATTTGGCGGCCGTCTTCACCACCACGACATCCCCATCCCGTAGGCCTAGGCGGAGGTCGGCTTCAACACCGATCTCGCCTAGCTCCAGGGAAGTTGGCGTCATCCTCCAGCCACTCGGCTCAGTTTCGACGGACCAGCTGGATGGCTACTGGAGCTCTCCCGGCATCGACTCGCGTCCGACCGAGATCATGGAGTACAATGAGTTCGGCTTTCGCAACAACGACCCGGATCTCGACGACTTCGATGAAAGCCTAGAAGACAACTACACCCCTCTCTATTTCGGCGTCTTTATGGCCGATAACGAGACGGAAGAGCAACGCCAAGCCCGGGAAACCGAAGCACGACGCGAGGCCGAACGACGCCGACTGGAGGAGGAGCGTCAAGCACAAGAACAAGAACGGCTACGGCGTGAGCAACAGGAGCGTGAGCGGGCCGCAAAGGAGGCTGAAGACCGGCGGCTACGAGCCTTGGAAGCAGGGCGCCGAGCGCGAGATCTTATCGGCCAACAAGACGTTGAGGGGACACCGGTTTTCCGCACCCCACAACAGAATGCTGTTGCCGCGATCACCCTCCTCGACACCCTCCTCAAGGAGAACGAGCTCAATCAGTCTGACCACGTCGTCAACATCTTGAACCAGACCAAGACCATGATTGCGTCTTCGGTCCCAGTTAACTCCGGAAGCGTCCGCACGCCAAGTGGCAGCCGAGTCCCCCATCTTCGATCTCACGACTACCACCAGCCAAGCCTCAGCATCACTGGCGCAGGATCTAATCGCAGGAGCAGGGGTCACGACGAGCGATCTGTCCACTCGCCTCCCGACCATCATAGGGAGCGCCGAGTGGAACGACCTCGTTCGCCACCTCGTCGTCGCCCCGTCGATCTTCGCGATACGATCATACAGCGCCGGGCAGCCCGAGGCCATCATCATTCGCCGGATCGCCACGACGACGACCTAGACGTAGTTGCCGCTTTCACCAACGACCTGCGTCGAGTGGATTGGCCAGCCGGCTTTAAGCCGGCTGGAATAGAGAAGTATGACGGTACCACCAACCCGGAATTATGGCTTACCGTCTACGGTCTCGCAATCCGCGCAGCAGGAGGAGATAGCAAAGCTATGGCGAACTATTTATCAGTGGCTTTAGCAGATTCCGCCCGGTCCTGGCTCCATGGATTGCCCCGTGGTACAATCGGATCTTGGGCCGAATTACGCGACCACTTCATCGCCAACTTCCAAGGCACTTTCGAGCGCCCCGGCACACAATTCGATCTTTACAATGTTATTCAGAAGTCCGGAGAATCTCTTCGAGATTACATCCGGCGATTTTCTGAACAACGCAACAAGATCTCTGACATCACTGACGATGTTATCATCGCCGCATTCACCAAAGGAATTCACCACGAAGAATTGGTCGGCAAGTTCGGGCGTAAGCCTCCCAAAACAGTCAAACTTATGTTTGAAAAAGCCAACGAGTACGCCAAAGCTGAAGACGCCGTCATCGCATCAAAACAGTCGGGCTCCAGTTGGAAGCCAAAAAAGGATACGCCGGCTACGGGAGGGGGTGGAAGTAACAACCATAAGGACCGCAAGCGTAAGCCTGAGGAACTTGTTGCAACCACTACTCACTCTTCTCGACAGCGCTCGCTCGTCAACACGTTCGACAAGATCATGAACTCCCAATGCCCGCATCACCCTAACTCCAACCACGCGGCCAAAGATTGTTTCGTCTACAAGCATTTCGCGGAACAATACACCAAGACTACACGGAAGAACTCCGACGAAGAACAAAGCACGTCGAAGAAGAAGGACGATGGCGACCCCCCGGCAGGTTTCCAAGACCACCGCAAGGAGCTTAACCACATCTTCGGCGGCC